AGCCATTCCAGACTCTAGGGGACGGTGCTCATCTCTGTTTCAAAGCCAAACAGCCAGCACTGTCCGAAGACATCTCCATGGTCATGTGGCCAGTATGACTAAACACCAAAGGCGCATGGAATGCTGTTACCATCCCACCAAAGGTGGTTCCTATTTTTCTACTTGTATTTTTACATGCTTTCGAACGGCTAGGTTGGCAGAAGCTGTGACAAGTAACAAGCGCTCACTCTGTTACGCGGTGCTAGAGATTCAAACTGCTGAACTGCCGACCTTTCTGATCAACAAGCTCAGTGTCTTAGCCACTGAGACACCGGGTCCCTTCTAGGAATGGATACCTATGCACAAAATGCCTTGGGGTGGAAGAACATTCATCTTGTGAATGCTTATTTGCAATCTGCAGTGGTATAGTCCTGACATAGGTTTTCTATCCCAATTATCCTAAAGTCCTAGTCCAGGTGTGGGAAAAATGAATGATGGATGAACTTGTAAAGCAACTTCGCCAATTCCCTTTCTTTGAAGGGGAAGAAGAGAGAGAGAGAGAGAGAACTGATCATCTGTAGATTTCTGTGTGATTTATGGGAGTTGCTTAAGAGCAGCAATAGCAGAATCCCTCACCTTAAATGCTAGATTGCACTATTGGAAAGGTAGTTTGTTCTCTTCTCATTTGGTATTTGGAACAAATTCTGGGGTGCCACCTTTTTATTTTCATGCTTTATGCTATTTCCATGGGTTACAGGTGACGTAGCTTCTTGTGCTAGTAAAAATAAAATAGATTTAAGCTTTGTGCCTGTCTCGTTTGCTTCAATTTATAGGCATCCCAGTTTTAACTGATTATATTTAATATCCACAAAACAAGGCACTCTGCGGTTTAACCAGTGAAAATTAATGGAAGATGGAGCTGAGATGCGCCCTTGAATATCAATATTTCTCCTGTGAAAATGTGATTAGAGAAAATATGCTTTTCTAGCTGAGCGGAAAGCAAAAACTTAAGGCAGGCATTTTGGTGCAGAAAAACAGCTAAACCTGATGTCCTTTGAGCATAGTGGACCTGCAATTCCTGGTGCTGAGAAAGGAGCTGTGAAATTTTAAATTACACATCATAAACATCTTACACAAAATTACCAAAAAGTGCTACCCAAACCTTAGAATCTTTGCACAGTAACAACTTCAGGAAACCATCCTTCAAGCTTAATTCTTTTGAACTACCTTTAGTCACAAGTTGTTTTTGAAGCCACAGCTCCAGAGAAGACCTTGAGTGAATAGGCTTGATTAGCAAAGAGAACATGTTGTATTTATGCAGTATCTGGGATTTGGGCTCATTAAACTGTCTTAGTGAGATATAACAAGCTGCTAAACTGGAATGTTATTATCTGCTAACCTGCAACATTCTCCAGTGCTGGAGAAGCTACAAACAATGTCAGTTTAAAAAAAAAACCAGAGAAGATGATTCAAAGGTCAGTTCCATACTTCAAAGCGGTAAGCCAAATGAACACTCACATATTTTCTATGTAAGGCCAGATATTCCAGCGCAATTTTGAATGTACACACGTCACATTGTCTCCAGGATGTTAAGGGTTAACTAAATAGTTGCTGCTCGATTGAGTGACCAAACCCCAAAGCATGGATGTCCCGAAGTTGCTTTTTTTCAAAAGCCAACTGGGTTTTCTTGTTTTTGCTTGAAGACGTTTCACTTCTCATCCAAGAAGCTTCTTTAGTTCATTCTTCAGAACTGTAGAAGCTTCTTGGATAAGAAGCAAAACGTCTTCAAACAAAATCAAAGAAACTTCAATTGTCTTCTGAAAAAGCACCTTTGGGATAACCATGGCCTGGATGGCTGAGACTCTCCATAGGCAAACACATGGATAAAAGTCCTAGAGATCCATGAGCAAAGTATGAAATTTTAAAAGAGTGTCCTGGATATTCCCACAAAATTAGAGTTACCAGATATCTGAACAAACTATCTAAACAGACAAAGAAGGACATGGACACGAAAAGGAGGACAAATAGAGAAAAAGGAGCAGGCAATAACTGTCTAACTTTCTGGTCATCCGCAAGAAAAAATATGGTGAAAAACAGTAAAAAAAAATGTAATTAGGCCTTTATGTCTATGAAATTACTTTTTCCAGAATGACGAAGATGGGTTCCTGAATCACAATATTTTTCCAACCAATTTTTATTTTCAAAAACATACGCTGTAATATAGAATCGATGACAAAATGCTTTTCAAATTTCCCCGTAGAAACTGTGAGTTGCCATGAGCTCTACAGCTATGCTAGATTTATACAGTAGATGATAGATTTGAAAGGGGCTGGATTGAAGCCAATTGCTGGAAATAAATTAAACAATGTAAATCTAGGCTGCCGAGTTGTTGATGGATGAGGAAAAGAAAAAAGCAGACAGTGTACAATATACAGGAAAGTTTGAATGACTACTGTTGTGCAAACAGTCACACGCCAAAAGCCAGACAATACAGTATTTGATTTTAAGGCTATAATTGCTGTAGGAGCTGAGGACAAACAGGAAGGCATGTTCTCCTCTCTCCTAATGCCTGGCAAACAAAATAGCTGTTGCAGAAATCAGGCCGATCAAAATATCTTGGAAGCCCCCTCTCCACTCCATGTTGGGCTGTTGCTGTTTTTTTCCTCCCCTCCCACATCCCTTTGGTTGCCCCCTGTCCTCTTTTGTCTCCTCCTCCTCTTCCCATCTTATAATTTTGTTACTTCTCTTAGCCACATGGATATTTCCTCATAGCCCCTTGTGTCCCATCTTCTAGGATTCCACAACAATCACATAATCTCATGGAATCTCAGAAACAACCCACCATCTTGGAAGATGTTTCAATAGGGCACAAACTTTCCTCAGCTGTCATGTTTGCTGCCATTTTTCATAAGGTGGTTGCTCATAATTATAAAGAAATGTCTGTTGGGGGTGAAAGGGCCACAAGAAAGAAGACCCCTGTGGTTGTCGTGGTACCTATTCTATTGATGATTGTGATGTGTTGCAGTGAAAATGTTACTGCAGTGTATCAAGGGAAGAGATGGTTTTACTTTTTCATCTGGTTGGGTTGGTAATAAATATTGATAATCAATACGTTACAGGGAGCAAAATATATTAGCTGAAGGATCTGGAGAGTAAGCCACGACTTTTGCTGACTTCACAATTACAAAGGCCACTGGGAGTTGAACAGTATATACCATACATTTAATAAATTAGGGTTGGTTGCACAGCAATAGCACTTAAATGTATATACCACTTCATAGTGATTCACAGCCCTTTCTAATTGGTTCATCGAACAACAATCTGGGTCCTCATTTTACCAACCTCGGAAGGATGGCTGGCTGAATCAACCTTCAGAATCAACAATCAAAATCAGACTGCTAGCAGTTTGCAGAATTAGCCTGCAATACTGCACTCTAACCACTGTTCCACCAAGGCTTTTAGACTGGATTTGGCAAAATTATATTATTTTTAACTATAGGACATAAAGATTTTCTGGGTCAACACAATGATCTCATGGTGTAATGAAGTGACAAGGTAGTTACGTTGCGAAGTTGCTTGAAACAATTGTGTGATATATTTTACCCATCAAGTAAGCGATACGTAAGCAAAGGGGCTCTCTCCTAGCTTGTAGAAAGTGAGAGATATGGTGAGAAAGGGATTAATTTAAAAAGACATTCTACTCGCAGAGATGAACTGTTAAGAGTGAGGCCGGAAGCATATTAGCAGATCACTTTGAATGGATGGACACTCTCTGTAGTGTCGAAAAGCTGGCCTTGCTATTTTGCACAGTGAAGAAGCAGGCTGAAGCAGCAAATTCTGGTAATCATTAGTCCTTGCTGCCCTCACAATTGACAGAAGTGTCTCCATTTCATAATTCAAGTGCCACTTGAGTAGGGAGGGAAGAAGCACCACTTTGTTTTTCACCTCAGGCAATATACTGTTTGTGTGTGTGTGTGTGTGTGTGTGTGTGTGTATACAGTATCTATCTCTATCTCTATCTCTATCTCTATCTCTATCTCTATCTNGCTCTTATAAAAGGGAGACTGTTCGTCCAATCTATCTTAATATTGGTCAGTGGAGAAATAGGGATTCTGAAATTATACAACTAAACAGTAAACAGACAAAGCAGAAAGCTGAACGCTTCCTCATTTCGAATAACCAATGTATTATCCTTAAAGTTGACATATCAAGTTTTGGGGGAGCGCTGCCTCACTGTTGATGAAACTGCAATCACGGTCGTTGGATTATATCAAAGCATTTTCCTTTTGTTTCCCTTTCAAAAAAAAAACCGAGATAACGAACAACTAAAACGAAACTCAGGATTTGATCCTCCCTCCCTCCACCTCCTCCTGCCCCGCCCGGCGCCCCCGATGGCGAGGCGGAGCGAAGCGGCGCGTGTGTGGCTGCCGGTTCTTTTCCAGGCCACTCTGCCGGGGGCGGGGGGGGGAGCGGGGAGGGAGTTCGGGACTCTTTGTACCCGCCCGTCTCCTGTTGTATCAAAAGAGCCGCTCGGAGGCGCGAGGTTGGCGGCTGCTTCTCCTTCTGGCTGCCTGGCTGCGCTGCGCTCCTTCGCTCCCCTTTCACTTTTTCCTTGACGGCTCAGCGCCTCGAGGCAAGGCGGTGTGAGGGAGAGGGGGGCAGCTTCTGGACTCGGCCCGGGCTCCCTTCCCAGGAGCAGCAGCAGCAGCCTCTCTTCTGGCGGAGAAGCCGGATCCTCGACAGGAGCCGGGCAAAGGAGCGCGCCGCTTGCCGGGGATTCCCAGCCCCCTCGGTTTGCGCGCCACAGGTTGCCGTCCTCAAAAAGGGACCGCCGCCGCAGCTGCCGCATGAGGCTCGCTGGGCGCCGGGCACATCTCCGAGGAAGCCGCGCCGCGCTCTCGCTCCATCGCCGGTGCCCGCCGCCCCGTCTCCCTGCCGCCGCCGGGACCATGAACTCCACGCTGGGCAACCAGACGGAGGTGCTGGGGCTGCTGCTGGCCAACGGCACTGGCTCTCTGGAGCGAGTGCTCCAGTCCTTCACGCCCATGTCCGTGGTGACCGACGACGGCTTCGTGGTGACGGCGCCGGACGAGCGGAGCCTGTACATCATGCGGGTGGTGCAGATCGCCGTCATGTGCGTCCTGTCGCTCACCGTCGTCTTCGGCATCTTCTTCCTCGGCTGCAACCTGCTCATCAAGTCCGAAGGCATGATCAACTTCCTGGTGAAGGAGCGGAGGCCGTCCAAAGAGGTGGAGGCGGTGGCCGTGGGCCCCTACTGACCCCGGCGCCGCCCACCGGCCCGCTTGGCCTCTCCGGACTCGCGAGGGGACCTTTGGCTGCTGCCGCCGCCTTTCCCGGCCGTGGAAACAATTCCTGGCAGGCGAGGGACAAGCGACCCTTTCCCCCCACCGACGGGACGATAGTAGCAGGACTCTATCCGAAGCCAACTGCCGTGACTTTGGACTGGGCGTGGGAGAAGGTTTTACAGCCGTTTCCCTCGCTCTCCGGACAGGTGGGGAAGAGCAGCGACCTCGACCTGCAGCGAGGACAGTGGTGGTCCCCCTGCGGTGGGAACGGGGGTAAAGTGGAAAGGGGACAGAGATGAGGAAGCTCTTGAATGACATTTGATGTTCTGTATATAACACTGTAAATCCCACCAGCTAAACATTTCCAGCTTTGATGCTTTGTTTTAAGGAGGGGAGGGAGAGAGACAAATTGGTCTTAAAGTTTAATTGTAAAAAAAAAAAAACTTTTGCTCTCTTTCAAGATATTTTCCTTCCAGATTTGAATGGGTGGGGTGGGGTGGGGTGGGGTGGATGGACTTGTCCAATGTGAGGGGTTGACATTTGATGCTTTTGGTGCATGGTGTCTGTTGGATTCACTTTGGGGCTTGATTGTCTATAACAGAAACTCCTGTGGTGATGTGTGAATGACAGCTTCAAGTCATCTAATTCTGCTGTAAAGTCTCCTTTTAAAAAAAAAAAAAACTTTTGCTCTCTTTCAAGATATTTTCCTTCCAGATTTGAATGGGTGGGGCGGGGTGGGGTGGGGAGGATGGACTTGTCCAATGTGGGGGGTTGACATTTGATGCTTTTGGTGCATGGTGTCTGTTGGATTCACTTTGGGGCTTGATTGTCTATAACAGAAACTCCTGTGGTGATGTGTGAATGACAGCTTCAAGTCATCTAATTCTGCTGTAAAGTCTCCTTTTAAAAAAAAAAAAAACCTGTAGCCTCCTGTTTGTTTTTGTTCTTGCTTGCGCAGATTGTCCACAGTTCAAAAAAATCAAAGA